ACCGTACTACCTTCAATTCCAGTATCACAGGCATGGCCGTATATGTCGCAAGCATGGATCAGAAAAATTTAGATTCGGGATCCCATTTTATTTAATGCGCGAAACTCACATTTTGCAGCCACTACCGGAGACAGTCAATGTAACTGAGCGCCATCATCTTGCCAGACAGCTGCAGCAAATAAAGGCTGTTCTGAACCAGAGGAAAAATCTAGGCGATCACAGCTTTGACGAATTTCTCGGTCTATGCCAAATTTCTGAGGAAGAATATTTATTAGCAATAAGGTCTGAGCTACGAAGATGTAAAGTATTTTTGCGACGATCTCCTTCAGACATTATGATCAACCCCTATTCGCCGAAAATTTCATCAACCATGAAATCCAAAAGGATCTGCAATATGTGCTAGATCCGTACGCTTGCGCCACCTATATTATTGATTGCATCAATAAGACAGATAGAGGGGTAAGTGATACGATTGAAGATATTGTAAAAGAGCTGTGGAAAGGGAACAACAGCTTAAGACAAGCAGTGCAAAGCATCGGTACAGCCCATTATAATACCACAGAGCTTTCAGCTCAAGAAGCAAGCTACAATATTCTTCAAATTCCAATGTCGCAATGCTCTGAAAAGGTCATATTCATTCAAACCTCACCGCCAGATGAGCGAGTAAGAGTTGTAAAGCCACAACAGGAGCTCCGCATGCTGGACCCAACTTCCGACGATTGCTTTGTACACGGCATAATCGACCATTATACAAAACGACCGGCCTAATTGGAAGGGATCTCACTTGCCGATTTCGCCGCTTGCTACAACTATTGCAAAACCAGACCACGAGCAGCTCGACAAACTGCAGCAGTAGTTGATGAAGATGCAGAAAGTGGTGACGAAACTGACGACGTTTCCGCACACGAACATTACATTGAATTAATGGATCGCGCAGGATACGTCAGAAAACGGTCGAAACCAAAAGTCATTCGCTATCGGATGTACAATGTCCAAACTGAGCCACAGCAGTTCTATAGAGAGCTGGTGATGCTCTATTACCCCCGACGAAATGAAGAAGAGGAAATTGTAAATGCCGATTGCAAAGCGTTGTTCAGCAGGCACCGTGAAGAAATAATGCAAAATAGGAAGAAGTACCACTACTTCACAAACAGTGTATTGGAGGACGCCATGGAGCAAGCACAGAGTGATGCGCAAGCTCGAGAAACGGAGACGGAA